GCCATGGTAATGCCAAATTGTTTGACCAGAGCCTTTTTATTTTGGTGAAAATAAGCATGGCTTTCTCCTGCTGTTAAGGGGGCAGGTTGTGTTTGAGCAGCAAAAACCTGTTGGCAAGCAGTATCGGCTCTGACATTTCCCTCGGAGAGGTATCCCGGAAGGTGCTGGTGGCTCCGAATGTGAGCAATAAAAAAAGGATGTTGACGAGCAGTAATGAGTTGCTGTAAGCAAGAGAACAATTTTAAAAGGGAAGTCTCCATGGAGGGGGAAAGATAAGAGCCATATATGTGAAATACTACTTGAGTGACATACAAGCTGTCAGAAATAAGATTGATTGGGATGTGAGAAAATAAGTCCAAGGCTAAGATGACAGCCGCTAATTCTGCTTTTTGGGCTGAGGTCTGAAGAGTTGTATGACAGGAATGCCATACTTAGAAGCAGCAGTTTTTAATTCCTTTAACAAAGTCCACTCCAATGGGGTATAATGAGGGACAGGATTACCCCCAGCAGCGGGGGTTTGAAGAATCATAGGGAAACAAGAAAGATCATCTGCAGATAGCTTTCCTTCCGCCAAAGCCGATTGAAAGGCATTACGGACAGGAGGATCTGTCGCCATGGTGGAAGGAGGCAACGGAGAAGAGGGATTCGGAGAAGAGTCAAGGGGTGGAGTAGGGTGGAGGTGCCGAGGCAGCAACAGGACAGAGTTCAGCGGAAGGTGGGTCTGAGGAAGACTGGATAGAATCATCGGGAAAGAGAATATTAAGGGCGGCCATAACGGCACGCCAAGAACAAATAATCTGAGGTGGAGCCCTGGCTGGTTCATGCATCCATTTCCCCATCCGTTCCCAAGAGGAACATTTAAGAGTGCCTTCCGCAGGATACGCGGGGCAGTGTTGTTGGACATAACTCAAAAAATCATCCAAATACTTTTTTGACAGAGGATATACATTTGTGCCGTTAGCCTTTTGCAAATAATTTGCCTTCTTCACTAAAGCGAGAAGTTCATCCCTATGCTTGAGTTGAACTTGAGAATGTGAGGAGCCCATACTTACAATGCGCGAGCCTATTCCAGGTGCGTAGTACAGGCATGAAGGAAGCGCATTCCTAGACAAGAATCACGCTTTGTCAGGGACGTATCGTTGAGACGATCACGTCGGGGTCACCAGTTGATGCGTTGCAGGTCCCACTACCGGGATGAATCAGTCAGCTGATGACCTGCACCCAGGCAGATTGTCCGGGCGGGCTCCTCTTAGTGGCAAAGATGACAGCGACACAAAGGTTCCTTTTGGTGAGAGGAAGCACAGATAGTACTACGCACCTCTCTTTTATTGTGCAGCAAGCAGGGGGGGCGGTTAGGTTACACATGAGGAAGTTAGACAGGAATAGGGAATATTGCCATATATGGCTACACCTTATGCTATAGCCAACTCACGTTTTACACGTTGCTGTTCCATAGTGTCGCCCTATATGTGTATTGTATGTGTATTGGGTTTTCTGTGTACGTGACTTCCTACTGATGTGTCATGATATTGCAACACATGGGGGCTCCTCTATGCCTTTCCTCCACTGCCCCTGATCCCAGAAACTATTGGGGGAAAAGGCAGAGCTCATACTTGTTGCCCCTCACTGGCCCAGAGGACCATGGTTTGCAGACTTGGTAAGCCTCTCTGTGACCAGTCCTTGGAGGATACCAGCAGACAGAGAATCACTCAGCCAGGGACCCTTGTTATATTTGGAACCCCGGTGGCTTCAATTGACCGCTTGGAGATTGAGCGGGGATCTCTAAGCATGTGAGTGGCTCCATCGCTGTTCTTCACATCCCGGCTTTTGATTGCAATAGCAGTCCCTAGGATGCAAGAGAAACATTACATCAAGCAACCTGGGAGAACCTGTCAGTCAGCAACCCATGCATTTCTTTTGCATACCAATAATGCACAGCTGTGAGTTGAGATGAATATATAGCTACCAGCTCTGGATGGCATCTTCACATCTTGCTGTTTGAGGAAGTCGTACAACATTCTCAGAGACTCTTCCCACCCTGCTTATAATCTTTGTGAACTGTTACCTTCTGGCAGAAGATATAGAACAATTAAAACTCAAACCACACATTTTCTGAACAGTTTTTATCTCAGAACTATAATTGCACTTAACAATGAACTTAAGGACCAGTATCAGTGAGTTGTTGGACAGTATTACTTGGTCTGTTGTGTGGATGCTTGTGTGTTTTTTTTGGGGGGGGGTGAATTTGGTGAGTGGGGATGAGTTTGGAGATTGTCATGTGTGAGTGTGTGTTGGGTCTGGTCAGGGTGTTATGTGAATTTTGTTGTACGTGTATACTGTGCATATACGTACAATAACAATAAAGTATATTTATTATTTATTTATTATATGTTGGAAAGTGACAATCTTTGACCCCTAAGATGACTCCTAATCATCTTTGTTGTTCTTCTCTGCATTCTTTCTAGAATCTCAACATCTTTTTTAAATTGTTACGACCAATCTGGATGCAATATTCCAACTGTGGTTTTACTAAGGCATTACAACACTTCACATGATCTTGATTCTATCCATCCATTAATGCAGCCTAAAATTGTATTCACTGTTTTTAGCAGCTGCAGCTGGCTCATATTTAAGTGATTGATGTCCATTAGGATTCCAAGATACCTCTCACATTTACTACTATTGAGCTATGTACCTCCTATATTATGTCTGCTGATTTGGTTTTACCTTGCCTAAATGTGCAATAAAATCTTACTACTCTGTAGTTATGGCGAAAGCTTGTTATGCACCTGGGAATTCATGCTGTGACAGAACTACTGAGAATCTGGGAAGCTTTGCTCCTATAGATGAGTAGCAGTTTTGAATTTAGTTTGGGAACTATTATTTAGATTTGTCTGCTGTAGGTTATCTGCCCATTTTTCTTAATTTCTGAGCTTCATCCTGCAAATTTTGCAATCACACAGTCTGGAGCCAGGTTTAAATGCATTAATAATGTGAGATTATTTTAATAAAAAAAAATTTAAGGCTTAGCTTTTCTGAAAATATGATTCCCACAGGCAATGGATTATTTTTTTTAAAAAAATGAACTTTACCTATTGATTGGATTGAGTGTTTGAGGATATTTTACTGCTAGGTGAAAACTTTCAGAATTAAGGTATATGTGTGCAAGGAGACATGGGTAGAGATTCATAATTAGTTAAGGATAAGTGAAGTTTGACTTGAGGGTGAAATCTATTATAGCAGTGTGAGGATGAGCAACGTAATGTTTCACTTTGGTTCTTTGTGGACTAAGTTCTGGTTGTCCTCTTGCTCCTCCCCATCCATGGGTTCTGCACTTCAGGCAATCCAATCCTTGGAAATTGCCCTGAAACCAGGAAAGGAATATGTGCAAATTAAACAGTCTGATCTTTCAGAGAAAGCTAGGGCAGAACTCATCTCCTACAGTATAATTTTCTCAAGAAAAGGAAATCTTATTTGAATACTTCAATTCTGCCAGTTAAGAAATGTGATGGGTCTTTTCATCCGGACTTGAGAATTATCAATTTACTCACAGTGAAAACAATTCACCCTACAGTGTCAAAACTTGGATGTCTTTGATTTCACCTGCCTTTGCATGGTTTACTATATTGCATTTAAATGATGCCTTTTTCTGTATCCTTTTTCAAGAAGGCAGTCAGTGGTTGTTTGCTTTCCAATGATCTGACAATGAATAATAGAACAATAGAATTGAAGGTCTTCTAATTCAACCCCCTTCTAATGCAGGAAACATTATACCTTATCTGATGAATAATTGTCCAATCTCTTAAAAACATCCAGTGTTGGATCATTCACACTTCTGGACGCAAGCCGTTCCACTGATTAATTGTTCTAACTTCAGGAAAATTCTCCTTAGCTCTAGGTTACTTCTTTCCTTGATTAGTTTCCATTCATTGCTTCTTGTCCTGCCTTCAAGTGCTTTGGAGAATAGCTTGACTCCCCCTTCTAGATGGCAACTGGAGATATCGGAACACTGATATCTGTGTCACTCCTAGTTCTTCTTTTCATTAAACTCGACATACCTAATTCTAGCAATTGTTCCAGAGGTTATTCAGCAGGTTCTGACCAGTTCTGGAGAACCAGTAGCGGAAATTTTGAGTAGTTTAGAGAACCGGCAAATCCCACCTCTGACTGGCCCCACCCCCATCTATTCTCTGCCTCCTGAGTCTCAGCTGATTGACTGGGTCTTCTTTTGTTGCCCCGCACAAGAGAAAGGAGTTGGAAAGCAGGTTAGTGGGGTGGGGAAGGAATTGGGATTTTGCAGTATCCTTCCCCTGCCATGCCCACCAAGCCACACCCACAGAAGCAGTAGTAAAAAAAATTTGAATCCCACCACTGAACCATTCCTTATATGTTTTAGCCTCCCGTCCCTTAATCATATTTGTTGCTCTTCTCTGTACTCTTTCTAGAGTCTCAACATCTTTTTTACATTGTGGTGACCAAAACTTGATTCACTATTCTAAGTGTGGCCTTACCAAGGCATTATAATGTGGTATTAACACTTCACCTGATCTCGATTCGACCCCTCGAACATGTAAAGGGAACCAGACTGATTTGAAAATAGCCCAATCATTTTTGGTAAAGCTCTTGGCTCTGACCTACTCAGATAGACCCCACCCCATAACCACGAACAAACAGCTCTATAGTGCCATATGTGTATGATGTATTGTTAAGGGCTCCCTCTGAGAACAAAATACTAGCCATCTTTTTCTGGCTGATTGAATGAACTAAATCTACCCTTTTTAATGCCAGCAGATAATTCACTTCATGACTGCATGTAAATACTTGAGGACCAAATTTGAACATCGACCTTTACTAAATGCAGAATTAGATTTGTTTATTGATAGAAGCAGCTACATCTTTGATTGTCAGGAAGAAAATTTTGGAACAGAATTCATTGCCTTTGAAGATGCCAGCTCCAAAAGTAAAACTAGTTGCATTAAAATGTGTTTTGCAATTGGCAAAAGTAAAATAGCCAATGTTTTTTTCTTGACAGCACATATATCTTTGGTGTTGTAGATGCTCACGGAGCCTTGTGGCTGGGAAAGGGTTTAATTACAGCAAAAAGTAGTCAGATTAAACATGGAGAAGAAAAATTGCAGATTTTAGATGTCATCTAGAAGTTAAGAAAGATTTACTAGTATGATGAAGAGAGATGGGTCTTTTGAGGCAAGTCAAGCTTTCTGGAAAGTGGATCTCCAAAATCACATTTGAGTGAAGTTATTGGTTGCTCCAAAGGCTGTTTCTAGGGTAATACACTGCCCGAAGCCACAGACCTGAAAGTCAATGTCAAAGATTATCAATAGAGTAAGACAGCACTTTCCTACACAACTCAACTCCCTAGAACTAGCCCAAGATATTCAATAAACTTCTTTCAGGTTTTATACAGTGTAAAAAGACAGGAAGAAGTGATTCCTGATCCTTTAAGAAAAGCTTTAGGATTGATTCAACACTTCTAAATGGCTTCATTGAACTGGTGACTTTTAGGTCAAAACCAACTCTGCCCTGATTTTTTCATCTTTCTTCCGCCTTCCATATAGAGATACCTTAGATACAGACACAAATTAACAGAATTGGAAGGGACCTTGTAAGTTATCTAGACCAACCCCCTACCCAAGCAGACCCTACAGCATTTCTGACAGTGGCTGATATGTGAAGAAAGACCATTTTGCAACATGCAATCCCTAGTTGAAAGCTTTTTTGATAAAATGATAATGGCTACAGAAAATATTTATGTACATGCAGGGGTGGGATTCTACCAGTTCTGTCCACCTACGTAGAACCGGTAGTTCTGAAGAACAGCAGACAGAGAGCATACATAGAACCGGTTCTATGTCTGCTGCTATTTTGGCCCACCCGCCCACCTGGGCTCTTACCTGTCCTTTATTTCCTGCTTTTTCAACCACAGCTGCTTTGCGCAACACAGCTGTGATTGAAAAAGCAAGAAAAAGGGGCTTTTCCAACAGCTGTGCACTTGCACGCAGCGCTGCTCAGCTGTCCAGGCAACTCAGCAGGTCGTAAATTGCACCCACGTGTCTCATGCGCAAAGCACACATGCACACCCAACACAGAGCAACAGAACCGGTAGTTATACCAGTCGGATCCCATCCCTTGGTACATGTAGTTCTGGATAAATTAGATTCACAAAATGAATGTGATTTGAAAGCAGCAGAATTGTTAGAAAGAAATATAGAGTGTACAGATTTAGAACCGAGTTTAATTGTACATGGGTCTCTGAAGTGGAACCCTGCATTTTATTTTTTTACAATAGCAGGAATCTGACAAAGCGATAAATTGGTTTTTCCTAAAAGGATTGGGGATCGAGAAGGGATGCGTTGGCTCAGTGGCTAAGACACTGAGCTTGTCGATCAGAAAGTTTGGCAGTTCAAATCCCTAGCGCCACGTAATGGAGTGAGCTCCCGTTACTTGTCCCAGCTTCTGCCAAACTAGCAGTTTGAAAGTATGTAAAAATGCAAGTAGAAAAATAGGGACCACTTTGGTGGGAAGGTAACAGCGTTCCGTGCACCTTTGGCGTCACATGACCACAGAGACGCTTTTGGACAGCACTGGCTCTTCGGCTTTGTAATGGAGATGAGCACTGCCCCCTAGAGCCGAAAATGACTAGCACGTATGTGCAAGGGGAACTTTTACCTTTACCTTTAAGGGGATTGTAGGTCAATTGGGAATGAATTTATCATACTTAACTGGGAAACACTTTCATCTGTACTTTTTTGGGAAAATAGACAAACTTTGGACATTGTATTTATTATATTTAACCTGACATCGATTGATAAGATGGTATTAAGAAAAAAATGTGAATATTTGATCAAGGATGAATCACTGTTAATACTTGGGCCAATTTGGGAAAGATAAGATGCTGTGGTAAATTTTCTACGCATTAATCAGAATAACAGTTTGTTAACAGAGGGTTAATTTTAATTTTGTTTTTTTATCATCATTCTTGTTAATTATTTTGTCATTAATATAGTATATAGATGACAAGTTAATAATTTGAAAATAGTTTTAGTAGTTCAAAAAATTGGTGTTTCTCAAGAGGTGGGAAACTAATATTGCAGTAATGTATTAATCAGTATTCAACTAGGGGGATAATATATGTTTATGTGTTAGGGATGTTGGTTTTTTTACTTTTTTAATGTCTTGTTTCCTGTTTTTTCTTCATTTGTTTGGTTTTTTTAAACAATTTTTGGAATTTTACATTTTAACTCTTTAAAAAAATAAAATAAAAATATAACCAAAAAAAGAGAATCTAAGCTAGCTTTTAGCAAGATCTGTTGCAAAATTATTTCAGTGATCACCCCTTGGAATCAGATCTTCCAGCAGACAGATAAGAGCTAATCTTTTACTCACCATTCCTTCTCCACACTTTGTTCCAGGTTCAACCATTCCTAAATTGGCATTTTCGTTTGAAAAGTAAAATTTGCACGAGTTCTCTTCAGTTGAATTATCTACGCAGAATAACCTGCCACATTTAACATCCCTGAAAAAGAAACAGTCAGTTCCGTCTAATGAACAAAGTGTCAACTTGTAAAGCATTCCCATGCCTGTTTCAGAGTTGCCATAAGCAAGTGTGTGTGTGTGGGGGGGAATCTGAAGGAGCAGGGCATCTTAAAACCAGAAGTACATTCCACACTTATCTTACAAAGATTGTAACTAAGCTACCAAATCTTCTGTCTGTGAAAATCCTTCAGTGGAGAATGTGACTGATGACACCCAGACCATGA